CAGCTTGTTGTTTCATTTCCTAGTTGGGTTTTGTTTGCTTGTTTGTTTGCTTCTAGATAGAAGAGGAGGCATAGGTGGGGTTTTCTGCCTTTAGGTGCCAAAATAATGTGTTTGGCTTTAAGTCATGTACAACTTGAGTTGAGAAGAGGAAGCAACATGTCTTGGGCCAGAAAGGTTTGCTCACAGAAGCAATCTGTGAAATACTAATTGTGGAATTGATGCTTTGTATTCAGTTCACTTAAACATAGATTGCAAGAGGAAAGTTGGGATGGGGGCGGTCCTTTGTTGGGGAAAAAAAGTCCTACAGAAAATTGTTGTTAAGGTTATTTATTCAGAGTTTTTTTCTTTCGTATATAATCCCCCCTCATGCCTCTGCCTTACACACATTTTACAGTAAAAGACGGGGGAGTCTGTTAACCATGGTTCCTTATTCATTCTGTCAAACAACTGTGTACTTCAGAGTTGTGAATTTCACCTAGATTTTTCTATTAAACATATCCTGTTACTCAAGGCACAGTCTTTCTATATTTTCTAAAATATATTTGTAGAGTGGGGAGGTCATCTTTTAAATGTGGCTTTTGATGCCTCTGTACCACCATGGTCATTTTCTTAATCAATGGCTTAGGTCTCTGGCTGTGGAGCCAGAGGTTAGAAGTTCGATTCCCCACTGGGCTTCCTTGACAGGGGCTGGACTCAATGATCCGTAGGGTCCCTTCCAGCTCTGCAGTTCTAAGATTATTATTATTAAGCCTGATTAATCGCTCAGACTACAAGACAACTGCGAAAGGAGCTACTGATTTCGTGGGACTGCTAGCAGCTTTTGGGGCTGTTCTCAGCATGATTCCCTTGAGCCCTTTGCAACATCACGTGGAAGGCGAGGGGCTTGTTCCCTGCAGGTTCTTTTCCTTTTCATTCAGTCAGACACAGGTAGCCCCTAGAGAAGCATGTGATAGTCCCATGATTAGAGACAGTACGTATGTCAAAGTTTCCCAACCTGCAGCACTACTGCTCTGTGGAACTACAGCTGCCTTCCCCAGCAGCCAGCATGTTTACTGGTTTTGGAGGTTGAGACGGCAGGAGCTGCACTCACTTCTGGAGAACACCACGCTAGTGTATGCTGTTCTGCAAGGCTTAATGTTTTCATCAATGCTGTTTAATAACTCTGTCCAACTCCTGGGAAAGATCCTTGGTGCAGTTTGCATGGTCTGCATAACCTGAAATAAACATCCAGGGGCTACCATTTCTGTTTCCACTCAGTATTTCTTAGCTGTAGCCAAATGGAAGAGGCTGAGCAGACTAAAAAGTAATCTACTTACCTTGAGGGAGGTCTTCCTTGAACCTTGGAAGATTCAATTGCAAACATTGATACCTAAATAGGATAATTTTGCTTTACACACATTTTACAGTAAAAGACGGGGGAGCTTGTTAACCATGGTTCCTTATTCATTCTGTCAAACTACTGTGTACTTCAGAGTTGTGAATTTCACCTAGATTTTTCTGTTAAACACATCCTGTTACTCACGGCACAGTTGGGGCTCAATCTCTCCACTAAAACAACTTCTCATCCCCACTCTTAGAATCTCAAAACTCAGATCCCCATAATGTCTAGATCAGCTTGTAACTAATTTCACTTGCTGGGTAGGCCTCCTTCTGTGAGCAGAGTGATCTCGCCACGTCGTTGCATGATGGATGGTGCCCATCTGATCCTGGGTCAGAACATAGTTATGGAACAGAATACTTCTGGCTGGCTGGATTGGGGTGTCTGCTTTCCTACCAAAAAAAAAATTTTTACATGGACGAGTTAAACAGTAAAGCAGTGTTTTAACAGATGGTTTGTGTTCCAGAGGGAGTCAGGGGACACTGAGAAGAAGCCCTAAGCCCTTGAACTTGCCAAAAGAGGAGACCATTAGAGAGCACAAAGCTGCTGTTGTAAAAGACCTGGAGAAAAAGCTGCATTTATGGGATGATGTCTTTCCATATGGCCAGCAGGTAAGAGTACTTGCTGCTATTAAAACATGTGTTTCCTCTTTGGTTTTCAACCTGAGCCTGCTTCATGAATACACAAACAGGCCAGCATCCCTATCACAACATGGGCAAAGCATTCTGCTTCCTCCTTCTTGCCATTTTCCAAGCTGGAAATCACCCCTTTCCAGTGAATGGATCTTATGTTTGTGGAAGGAGATCCTGGGTACAGTACCTCCTTATGCAAGAGCTGGAAAAGCAGGATTTACCTGTGGGCAATTGTAGGGGAGAACAAGTGACTGGCACACCAATACACTGCTATACAGAGCAGATTCCTATACCACTTTGGTGCTGGTTTGCTGTATAAATTGACCTCCCATTCTACAACCTATGAAAGTTCAAAACGGAAAACGAGGAAGAAGACAGTCTGTACAGGAATAGATAGAGAGCTGAAATGGTAAAATCTGTCATTTCTGGATAACTCGGGGGAAATTTTCCCTGATAGAGTCACTTGTATCTCTTCTAGTAAATCACATGCATGTAGAATTTTTTTACAAATGAATCATGGCGATTTGTGTTCATAATGTACTGAATCAGTGGAATAAAGTGCTCAGAAGGCAACTGTAAAATACCGTCCAAGCTTTTATATTAACAGGATAGTAATTCTCTCAGAAACAGCAGTAGGGCTATTGTGGTGACAGAGCTACCTGCCTGTACACTGTACTTTTTGAAAGTTCTATTAAATTATAAAATCCTGCAAATGATTTATAATATAGAATAAACCTGTGCCAGTTTTTATAAAGCAGCAATCGTGGTGCGGTTCTTGCAATTTACATTGCATCATGCTGAGGAATGTGCATGGAACAAAGTTCAGTGGTGCAAATTGGCCATCTCCTTCCATTGTCAATACCATGGTCAAACCTCTATGCCTGCTTTTTAAAACGAATGTCTTTCCTGAATCAAATATAACATATGGGGGGACATCTATAACCTGTCTATTTTGCATGAGTAAAATAAAAACGTATCAATAAATACATCTCTCTCATTTATGCCTACGGCAACTCTTGAGATTATATGTTGACTTTTCTGATAATGGATGGGGAACCCAAGTTATTGGGCCACCCATTTGTGGATGGAGCAGCAGCCCGGTACATGTAGGAGATCCAGTGGGTGACGGCAATGGCAACACAGCTTTGCATGGGCTGCAGATACGGGAGACAATGGGAGGGCAGCAACCATGTTGGCACCTTTCCATTGGCCAGCCGCAAATCTGAAAATTTGACCATAGCAGGCGAAGCAGAGTGGAGCAGTTTCCACTCCGATCCCCATCCTCCACATATAAGCAGGAGCTCGGTTACTTCCCAGCTGGTAAATGACTCGCTTTTAAAAATTCATTTGGCACAACTTCGTGGGCAACTGGGGCATTGGGATGGATCCAGGCAGTGTTAGGGGTAGCAGGCAGGAACCAGTCACCTCTGGGTATTAAGGGATCCCCTTAAAGGAAGCTGGGGACAGGACGTGGTCTGGCCTGTCTCAAGCGCCAAAGGCTCGACTCTCTCCCCAGGTGGCAGGGAACCACGGAGTGGCATATGCCTCCATGGCCTTCAAGGGACTGTCATACCTGGTGGTGACCTTCAGTGAATTGCTGATGGATGGTAGTGATATCAAGAGGCATTTGGGTCTCTCATTGCAATGGATCTGTTCCCAATGCTGAGCCAGAAATGCTGCTGCTTTTACCAATAAAGTTGTGTCCTTTCTTTCCAAAAAGTGTGACATTGTTCTTAATGTTATTATATGTGTTTTATGTGATCTGGGCCTGCTCAACCCTAGGCCAACAATGTGATGCTCTTTATTCTACTGATCCAAGCAGTCAAACAGAGGTTTGGGTTGTTGAGATATTTCCATCCTTGGAGCAGAAATCATTATGGTAACCAACTCCTAATGCATCACATTTTCATTACCTATTAAAGTAGAGATAATAATGGTGGTGACCCACATGGTATTACCTGCTGTCCTGTTATCTTTGTTACAGGCACAACTTTTTTTGCCCCAAGTAATTTTAATTGGTGGACAATGTAACCATATATGAGTCAGCGAACCTCATTGTCCCTAACCTCTCCAGCACAATGGGGAGAATATTTTCTCAGTAATGTTGATTCTCTTAGGATCTAAAAGCTGTGACATTTATTGAAAGAAAAGAAAAAGAAAAATATAATGAAAGGCATATACTGTAGAGTAATTAACTGATATAAAGAAAACTTATGAACCTAAAGTATAGAGCAGGGCAAAGATGTGACTTGAAATCATTTCTGCTATTGGGAGCCACAGAAACAGTGTTTGGCTGTTCGTTTGCCTATGTCCAAGTGGGATGTCCATGTCCAAGCATACTCTGGGATGGCCTGTCCTGAAACTTGTCAATGATCAAAATTCCAGCCTTTTTTACACCTTTAAGGCAGCTCATATCTGCATCCTACCAGAATCACAACACACTCCATCTTATTTAGCAAACTGATCAAAGAGTAACTCACAGATTAATACAGGGATAAGAAATTTCCTCACTAATTGGCAAAAGGATAACACAAGTGGCTTCAAAGCACTTGTCTAATGAGCACACCGATAACACATTGGGTTCCCAGGTCCAGGTGTCTGGAATTAATTGGCTTTGGCTGGCATTGCTGAAATAAACAAATACCTTTCCCAAAGGATAACTAAATACATTCATAATAAACACATGCCTTTCCCAGACAGTTATTTTAGGCCAAGGTGGAGGTCATGAGAAGAAAAACAAAAGTGTAAAATAGAGCTGTGAAACAGAACCAGTTTCTACTAAAGCTACAAATGATCCATAAAGCCCTTAAGCTAAGATGGAAATTTAAAAATACAAGCCTATAGATGCCAGCAAGCCTGGGTATAAAGGAAATATTGGGACATACCACACTAAATCTCCTTTATTTTATAATAATATTCCACAATGGCACTACACAGAGGGAGAAAGACATAGCAAAATAAAACACACATACACTTCCATCTCCAAACACCAAGAAAAGCAAGCCAGCAAATCAAAGGAAAGAAATACAAGTGAGGTCCGTCCTCCCTGCAACCAAGCATCTAGACAGTAATATTTCATTCTCCTCTACCACTCTATTGCTCCTTTTCGTCTCTTGTATCCAGCAGAGCAGTTGGCAGGAAGAAGAAAAAATAATTAAAGAAATGACGACCAACGAGTCAAATAAATTCCGAAATTAAGTCAGTAAAAAAATAAAAAATAAAAAAAATAATCCCAAGGAGGCAAGGAAAAGTGAAAAGGTTCCATAGATTAAGGCACATAGCCAGGGAAGCAGCAGACAGGCACAGCCAAGAGCAGCACAAATTGAAGTGCCCCAGGAAATCGCAAAACAGAAGGATCAATGAATGAAAGAAGGAATTTACACTCTTTCTGGGTGCCAATCCAAGCTTTTTTACAGAATTAGAATTCCTACTGTCCCCTCTTGGATGTTCTGAATGACTGCTGGCAGCAGTCTTCTATTTCATTAACATTTCCTAGGCAACTTGACAGACAAGAGACAAAGGAAAGGGTAAATGAAAGAGGGAAATACAGAAACAAAATGAAACTGTCATGTCCCTCTTATTCGTTAAAATGAAACTTTTGCAATTCAGAGACTATCTTTTGTAAATCAATGGAATACCATGAACATGAATGTAAGAGCCTCGTGTGTCCTTTTTCATTCATCTGAATACAAAAGTACCATCTCAGGCACTGACTGATTCATATATATCTTAATGCATTAATATGGAAATAGTTAAACGGGATGCTGCCAGCCAAATTTCCTTCCTGTGCATCTTCAAAGAATATTTTAAGGTTGCTTCCCCATGTTGTTTCAGAACCTCCATTACTTCACCTCTGCTATATTTTAGCTGTCTGGCTCTTAGCGTTACTGTCTGGGAAGTGCACAGGTGTTCAAACTGAGTAGGGGTCTGGAGATGAGAATGTTCGATAGACAAAGTAAGCAGAGTGAACAGACGGCATAATCTGTAGCTAGCTATTACATGTGGTTTGCAGTTTATCCCTAAGTTCTTGTTCACATATTGGAACTACCTTATGAAACAGGTCTCCAACTTGATAAACAGTATGTGGTTTCTTTGTTTTTGTTTTTTGTTTTGCTTTCCATCTTTACAACTGTTTGCAGATTCTGTAGGCTGCATTAAGGAGTGATTTACAAACCTGGGGGTTGTGGTGGGGAGAATCACTATGTAATTTAACAAAGGCCCAGGAATTTATAAGATATGCACTATTACCTGAGAGTAAGATCCACTGACTGAACACAGTGGGAATTATATCTGCGTCATATGAGTTACATGAAATTTTACCTGTCATTAATTGCTTGGATTTTAGCCATATTAGTCTCTTTCAGCATGTGTAACCAAACCAAACTAACAACAATACTGTGGAACTGGGAAAAACTAACACATTTATCTCAGTGTGAGCTTTTGTGGATTACGATCCACTTGCCCTGACACTGTAATCCACAGAAGATTGCAATGAAATTGTCTGTGCTGTCAGTCTTAAAGGTACCACAACACTTTGGTTTTTATGCTAATAGATGGAATATTATTGTCATTTGTCCTCATTCTCCCCAACCATTCATCCTTTTCCTGGCATTCCAGCATGTGTAACCAAACCAAACTAACACCAATACTGTGGAACTGGGAAAAACTAACACATTTATCTCAGTGTGAGTTTTTGTGGATTACAATCCACTTGCCCTGACACTGTAATCCACGGAAGATTGCAGTGAAATTGTCCGTGCTGTCAGTCTTAAAGGTACCACAACACTTTGGTTTTTATGCTAATAGATGGAATATTATTGTCATTTGTCCTCATTCTCCCCAACCATTCATCCTTTTCCTGGCATTTTCAGTGATTTACTAGTTTTGGAAGGCACTAGCAGAATTTTGGGAGGGTGTTAGGCCAGGTTTTAATGTTATTCAGAGGGGAGTGTCCCATCTCCACCTTTGGGGCAAGGTGT